GTAGAACCCTGAGGAGCTGTGCTTGGGTGTGGCAGGGCCTGGGCTGGGAGGTGGGCAGAGTGAGAGGCAGGCACAGACCCAGGAGAGAAAGGCGAGGTCTGGGGCTTATTTGCTGCCCCCTGCCGCCCCATAAGCTGTTGACTCCTGGGACATGTCACATTCATCTCTGTAGCTCCCCTCTCCCGGCCACCCAGCACCGTGAAATTGACCCACCCGTGAGACCAGGGGCTGTGTTCAAGGCACATCTGCGCAGGGCAGAGAAGTTCAGATACTAATCACCAAATGAATTAGCAACTGCCTGAGGGTGCTGAGCCTCCGTAGGCAGAGCTTCCAAGAATGGCACTGAAAGTGAGAGTGACCCAATCACAGAGCAGCTTACAGAGCACTGTCACACCCACTGTTCTGCCTGGGTCTTGCAAGAACTATGTCGTAAATACGGTTATCTCCATGTTACACATCCGGAAGAAAAGGGACTTGCCCAAGGTCACACAGCCGGCCTGGGGAAACTTGTCGCTCTGACTCCACAGCACGTGTCTTTTCTGTCCACCACACGGTGACTCAGACTGTCCTTTAAGGACTTGCCCCAGACCTGGGACAGCACAAGCAGGCAGTGCCAACCCAAATGGCAGCAGCGGCTGCAGCTGCTCCTAGGCGTCCTTCTGTCCTGGGCCCCTGCTTCCCTCTGCTGGAGCGCTGACCAGGCTGCGTGGGGGCTCCAGTGGAGCATCCGGCCTCCCCTGCAGGGCCTGGCCCAAAGCAGGAGCTCCCCTGGGACAGACCAAAGGCGGGACCTTTTAACCTGTCTGAGGTTTCCCCACACTCTCCAGCCCCGCACCTGACCTTCCTCCTCCTTGGCTACCCCCGCCCTTCGGGGTGAGAGCAGTCCCCGCCAGCTGGAGGAAACCAGGGCACCAGGGGGTGCAGGTCTCACCGCCAGGATCCCCTGCCAAAGCCCAGCTCTCTGGCCTTGTCCGGCTCACTAATCAGCCTGGGGCTCTGCAGCTCTGGGTTCAAATACAGGCCCCTCCCCATAGCTGTGTGACCCGAGCACGGCCAGCTTCTAAGGTGCGCAACATGTGTGCAGCCCAGGCCCCTACCCTTAGAAGGGCCCACCATGGGTTTCATGTTCCGTCTCTGTCTTGAAATTCTCCAGAATTTTTGAACAAGAGCATTTCATTTTTATTTGGCACTGGGTTCCACAGATGATGTAGTGATTCCTACCTGGACAGGCAGTGTCACTTCTCCATGCCTCAGGGGCCTGTCTGCTTCTGCACTGGGGCGTGGGGCTGCTGCGAGGCCTGCTAAGGCTGGTGGGTGACAGGCGCCCTGTCCACTACGAAGGGCTGCTTCGTTCCATGATCTCTGCAGGTGGGGAGAGAAGGCCTTTAGAAAGAGCTCTATAGCTCTCACCTAGAGGCTAGGGACAGAGAGACGAGGGCTCCCAGTGTCCACAGGGAAATTCTGTCTTCAGGTCCCTGAACAGAGCTCTTGGAGGCTGCACTGCGCCCTCCTCCCCTTCCCAGTCCCAGGCACCTGAGTCGCCCTCCACGAGTATGTTTCTGGGTGGGAGAGATTCCTCATGGAGCCATAATGTCAGCCCCTGGGAAGGGGCAGAGGCCGGGGTGGGACCCAGAGAAGGCCCCTGGGTGAGGGGGAGGAAGATGCAGAGCCCGCCCTAACCTCCCCACTGGGCAGAGTGGCCACTGCCGCGGCCTCTGGGCCCTGTTTGCCACTTGTGTTTAGAGTGGTCACGCCATGGGATGGTGGCCTGCTTCCTTACTGTCTCTGCGACAGCAGCGGCCTAGTACCAGGTCTGGGTGACCTCTGATCCTGGGGAACAGGAGAGGTGAGGCTGTTTTTTGAGGCTCTCAGAGATGGGGGACTGGGGTGATGTCCAGGCTGGTTGCCACGGAAGCAGGGGCCTCCTCGGCAGCTGCACCGGAGCCTCTGCTTGGAAACCAGGGACGAGGTGCTCGGCCCCACCAGGCCCGCACGTCCTGTCGCTGTAGACTTGGGTCCCAGCCTCCACTTCAGCCCAGAGCACATAGGTCAGCCTCATGGCTGCTTCCTGTACCCGGCTTGCATTTGTAGTGAACATCTCAAAACCTCACAACATGGCTGAGGTGGGCACCGCAGACGCGGCCGCCACCGTGTTGGAGAGGAGGGATGCCTGCCCCGGGCCCCACAGCGGGAAAAGCTGAGGGTGCGCCCAGGGCCAGACTGCTGCCTCCACTCCACTCCACCCTCCCTGCCTCCACCCTCCTCCCCTGGCAGAGAACATCCTGGGGACTGCCGGCTCCCAGCACTCTTACATGAGCCCGATGTGGGCACAGTTCTCTGGCTGCGCAGGGTAAGGCAGTGGTCTGGAGGAGGGACCGTGGGAGGCAGTGACAGTCACAGGAGGACAGCGGCAGCTTAGCCACAGTAAGAGCAGGGGCTGGAGTTGGGAAGTGCTGGGGAAGCAACAGGCCCAGGCCCTGGGTCCCAGGGGGAGGGGGCTCCTCGTCTTCAGCTTGGGGCAGATGGGGGTAGCATTCCTGCCCACAGAGAGCACTGGAGGAGGAGCTGCTAGGGGAGGATGATGAAGAGTCCAATGGCACATGCTTGGTGTTGGGCCCTGAGCTGCCAGGTGGGTCCCTGCCCGCAAGGAGCCCAGGGGGTTAGACTCAGAAGAAGCAGGCCCCCTCCAGTTCCTGATGCTCCATACCGTGTCCTCTTCAGGAAAGTGGGGGGCACAGGAGCCGCAGTGGGGGTGGGGGGAGCAGGAAAGGGAGGTGGAGCAGGGCCTGGCCCCTGGTGACCGTGTGGTCCATGCTGTGGAGCAGGATGATCAGCACCCAAGAATAGCCCCTAAGGGACCAAGAGACTGTGTTCAAAGCCTAATGTTTACGAGGCAGCCATGGACGGAGGCAGCTCGGGAAGACTCAAGCTGCCTGGTCCGGAGATCGGATAACCTTTGAGGTGGAGCTTCCATGTCCCGTTAGGGGCTTTAGGGAAGAGAAGGACCTCCTGGATTCTTGGAGTCTATTTGGCCGGATCTGTTTCTCAGAGTCACAGCCCCCAGTGCCTGCACCACACCTCACTCACCTCCACCTCCGCAGAGACCCAGTGCCCCAGCCCTAAGTTTTCAGCGCCTGTCCCCCCAACCCTCTCACCCGCCATGTTCTCCCATCTCTCCAAGGCCTGAGCCTTAATTACCTCCACCTGGAAAACAGGATGTTTTCTGCCCCTTTTCCAGAGAGGCTCTCCCACAGGAAAACTGAGAAGGCAGGAGGGGGAGCCCATTGGCTCCTTGATTCGGGGGTGGGAGGCAGGAGTTCCCTCTCTGGTTGTCAGCCCAGGGAGGAAACTAACATCTATTGGGCAACTACTGTGTGCCAGGACCCAAGCCAGGCGCCTGTAAGCGGGTTGATTTGACCCTCACCTCTGCCTTGGAAGAGAAGGCTCGTCATTTCCAGGTGTGAGTGCTGAGGTGCAGCCCCAAGGGGTGGCTGCCTGGGTCGCTCTGTGAGTGACAGAGCCAGGACTCATACACTGGCCTGCCACCTTCACTGCCTGTCTGGGGCTTCAGGGGGCTCCTTTGGAGGTGGGCTCCAAACCAGGCCTTGAAGGATGAACAGGAAGGAGTCACCCGAGCCCTGGAACAAGCACACTGCTGTGGCAGGAGGGGGGAGGGCAAAAGACTGGTTCATAAAAACCGCCCATGCCCAGCTGAGGTCCAGGATTTGAGGAGACACATAGAAGGAGCCAGGGTCAAGGCCCCCCACCTTCTACTGGGAGCATGAGTAGGACGCCCACCCCTGCAGCCCTGCAGAGTCTCAGATGCACGCTCACTCACACGCGCACACACAGGGAACGTGAGCTTTCCTTCTCCCCCTGCACACCCCTGCAAGGTGAAGTTCAAAGGAAAGGCACCATGCATTTGATTTCATTAGCCACAGGGAGTCCTGACAGCTGAGGGTACATGTTCATTTATTCCCCCCAGCCTGCAGAAACGCAGATCCCACAGCACAGGAACAGAGGAAACCCGTTAGGGACACCCTTCAGGGAGAAGACACACCAGGGCCAGGAGTCCAGGTGACGCCGGCAAAGGCAGGCAGGGGAATCCAGGTTATGAGAGATGGGCGCCCACTCGTTCTCTACCTCCTAGCAGCAAAGCGGAGAGGGAAGCCCACACAGCCACAGTTTCCAGAAGTTAAAAGCCTGCCAGATGGTCGGGAAGAAACCCGGGTGGCAGAGATCAGAGGCCTAGACGCGCCCCCGGCACCCTGGTGCGCCAGCTCTGCCAGCCCCTTCCCCGGGCCTGGGGAGGATCACTCTCACAGCACGACGGCTTCAGTGACCTCCGTTATGCCCCAAGCCACTCTAGCCCCTTTGAATTTTGCAAAAAAAAAACAAAAAAAACACTAGGCAAGCTTCAAGTGGACAAAAACCAGATGCCTTTGTCATATTCACTGAGAACAGATGTTGGGCTGAAAGCTTCATCACATTGATGGACGGTGTGTGGGCCCTGAGAACCTCCACCTTGGCTCCCTGGCCCGGGCCACAAGCCACTCCGTACTGAGGTGCATTTGGGGGCCCCCGTTGCCTCCAAGCCTGGAGGCAATCTCTAGCCTGGACCTGGAGCCTGAGTCCAGGAAAGTCAAAGTTTTAGGAATCTGGCCCTGGGCAGTGAAATACAGCCAGACCAGTCTGGACCCAGATAGTAACCTTGACCCTGTTAGCAGCAGCCACATTAGCACAGCCTCTGCAGCTCACAGACAGTGTACTCGTCCTCATCACATGACCCACAGGAATGGTGTCATTCACCCATTCCACAGATGGGGAGCTTGAGGCTCAGAGAGGCCACGCAGCTTCCCTAGAGCCCCACAGCCAGAGGGTATATCAGAGCCAGAGCTTGAACCCAGGTCTCCTGTCTCATAGACGATCTCTCCCCGGACGGGGAAAGACAGTGGCTTCTGCCCAAGGAGACTGAGGTCTCTGTCTCTTTCCCTCCACAGAGACGTGTGCGGTCAATAACGGAGGCTGCGACCGGACTTGCAAGGACACGGCCACTGGCGTGCGATGTAGCTGCCCTGTTGGATTCACGCTGCAGCCAGACGGGAAGACATGCAAAGGTCAGCATGTGGAGCCGTGCGGGTGCCCCTGCCTGTACTGGCCTGGCCAAGGGCTTCCGTGTGCTTGCACAGCTGGGCGCAGGGCTGGGCTGGTTGGAGGCCGTGTGTGGCTGTGGGAAACGACATGCAGAATTCATTTGCATTGCTGTTGGAGAGGCCAGGAAGAGTGAGGGCCGGCCATCAGCGGGGCCCCCAGCAGGGTTCAAGAGAATAGGGTTCCCATGGCACACCTGCAGTTCCTGGGCCAAAAAGAATGTGGCTGCACACTGGGTTAAACAATTAAGCCAGCGTCTCTCCTGTGGGGCATCCTGGGCCCTCAGTGATAGTGTGGCTTCCCAAGGCGGGTGGAATGTGGCACGTTTCTGAACCCCTTGACCTTTGGTTGCAGTGGGTCTGGCAGAGTTGGTGGGGATGGTCTGGTGCAGGGCCATTTGGGACATGCAGGTCAGGCCAGGAAAAATAAGGACACCGTGTGTCACTACTAGAGGAGCGAGGCTGGGGGGATCCCATCTGAAAAAATAAGGACTCAGGCCTTCTGCTTGCCATTAGAAAACGAGTCTGGAGGATCCGGGAGTGATGTGGCTGAAGGAAGGAGGGACAGGGCTGGGCTGCCGGCGGCTGGCAGAGAGGGAGGGCAGCGGTGTATCCTTCCACTGGTCCTGACTCACCCCATAAAGGCTTCCTGAGTGCCTCCTGGGTTTAGGGGCCTCTCGGGAAACAGGAAAGCTGGGGAGCTGGGAGAGGAGAGCTGGCTGCGCCCTCGAGACAGGCACTGGGGAAGGAAGGACTAGAGCAGCGCTGCAGCCCAGGAGGTCCAGCCACCCCAAAGGTCGGACGGAGCCTGAGAAGCCGTGGGACTGGGGCAGGGTGTCAGACTTCAGTGCCAGAGCCCCCTGTGCAGAAGGGTGAGCGGCAGCCACTCCGTGCTCCCGGCGTGGCTCCAGACCGCTCTCCAAATCCCCCCAGCTCTGGGCAGTCCCCCAACTCTTTGCCAGGAAGGGAGAGCCTAGAGAGCAGGGCGTGGAGGGGGAAGGAACTGGCACTTCCAAGGTCCAGTTGGGGAAAATGTTGAAAGTGGAGGTTAGGGTGACCTAAAACAGTCCCAGGCAGGCTTTTTTAAAGCCCGTAAAAATAAATGTATTTTTGTACAGCATATGACTTCTTCCTGCCAACTTGCTGGGAAGAACCCAGTGACTATTGACAGAAATAACAGTGCTTCCGCCTGTTTATTTGAAAATAAAACCCTCCCATGGCTGTCGCACGGCCTGTTAATAGCCTTGGTGCGTTCCTGGCAGGCAAGTGGGCAGGTGGGTGGCGTCTGGGTCCTTGCCACATGACTCAGTGCCAGGAGTGACTGGCCGGGGAAGCCCCAGGTCTGCGCAGATCTGGCCATCTTCACAGCCTGGCGGTGGCACAGCCTGCCAGCATTTGCCTTCAGAGGGCCAGAGGGCCAGGCAGAGCTTCATTCCTTGGGCAAGGCCAGGGCTGCTGGAATGGCGTCTGGAGGCCAGGAGCCACCCTGTCTGGGCCAGAGAGGGGCCTGGGCGGGCATGTGGCTCCAGTGGGAGCCACTGGCATGGGACTGCCACCGCTGCCCTGCCCATCCCTCGGTGGCCCAAGGTGCACTGTTTCCTCCCACTCTGATTGTGGCTCTGAGGTAGGGTGGTGCCAAGGAGTGCTGTCCACAGCCCCAAGGCCACCCCACCCCCATGACCTTTCCTTTGCTCTTGAAACAGTCGGGGCCCTTTCACCAGGACAGCCCCACTTGGCCCTTTGGCCAAACCCCCTCCATGGACGCCCAGCCCTGGGCCTGTGGCCGCACTCAGAGCCCTAAGGCCCTGGCTCCCGCTGGCCGAGGTCAGAGGTCATCTCACTTGCTCACGGGACAGGTGTGTTTTCTGGGCTCCTGCCGTACGCAGGTCCCAGTGAGACTGGATGAATAAAGAGATGGTTCCCGCCTGTAGGGGTCCTCTACTGAGCACAGAAGACAGGTTTTCATTTGTAACATCACTAAGATCATTGAGTATTACAGATGGCTTGATGTGGAATAGAGTTCAGTGTGGCAGGAGGTGGGGGCATGGGGGCAGGGAGGGCTGAGGGGAAGGGGCATTTATCAGGCGATGGTGGGAGCAGGGAAACATTTCCAGCACTGTGACTGTTGCCAGAGGCCCGTGGGTTCAAGGACCTGGGACTGGGAAGAACGCAAAGGAAGCGGGCCAGATGGCGCAAGGCCGGGGGCCACCCTACAAGCCTGGCCAGGTCCCAGTCAGCACCAGGCAGGGGAGGCTGGTGCTAGGTTTGCATTTTGAGCTGATCCCTGCTCACGGCGGGGTCATGGTTGAGTCCAGAAGAGCGGCCAGACACAGCTCCTGTCACTCAGGCTCAGGGTGGCAGTGCCAAGGCAGGGCTGGCAGCAGACATGGAGAAGGCAGAGACTAGACATGTCCATAGATGTCCACATTTAAGCACCCAGGGGCTGGCCCAGAACTGCCCCCAGGACCGCCTCAGGGAGCCTGAAAGTGCAGCTGGAGCCTGCGCTTCCCTCCGGGACACCAGCCCCTCTTCCCCACGTCTTCCAGAACGTCTGGGAGAGCCCCCACCTACGCCTGTTTCCTGTCCTCCCTCAGCAGTGCCCTGGGCCAGGCAGGCCACAGCCAGGGCTTTTTTACTCAAGTGGTGCCCTTGAGTGCCTACCACCTGGCCAGCCCTGGCCAGCAGCTGGCCCTCCCTGCTGGGCACTCCAGGATAGTGCCACCCCATGACCTTGTGCCCTCCCTGCGCTTCCACCGCAGAGCTGTCCCCTACATAGCCCCCTATATGAGATGGGCAGGAGGAAGCCAGAACCAGGGTCCCACGCGTTCCTATAGCTCACCCCATCGCCCTGCCCCGTGCACACACACTTGAGCTGAACCCAAATAGTCCCCCCGATGGCCCAAGGCCCCTCCCCTCCCTCAGCCCTCAGACACCTCCATTGTCTGGAGTCACCCTGACCTACTGATTCCTTCAGTGAGCGTTCCCGGACACTCACTCATGCTGGGCGCTGGGGCGACAAACAGGAGCGGAAACCCCAAGTCTGTGTCCCAAGGCCCTCTCATGTCCCCAAAGGCAGGTCCCATGAAGAGGGAGCTGCTGGCTCTGGAAAGAACACTGGGAAAGGCTTTCTGGAAAGGCCATTTTTCCCAGGACTGAGGTCAGCAGGTGAGAGGGGACTGCGGCTGTGCTGCGTACGGTCACTGGAGTCCAGGCTGCCAGGGCAGGAGAGAAGAGGCAAGGCAGCCTGGCTGTGCTGGAAGGGGCACGCTGGGAGCCTCTGCAGAGCCAGGGCCTGTATCCTGGCAGACCCAGGGGCCTCAGATGCCAGCCCACAGGCAGGGACGCAGCCAGATGTGTGTATGGAAAGTGGTGCTGGCTGCCTGGTGGGGCAGTGGGGTGGGAACCCAGTCAGGAGTGGAAGGGGGGAGAGGCGGAGAAGTGGCACCCCAGGGGCTCATCAGAACGGAGGCCCAGGGGCCCCATGAGCCCAGCACCCCCTTCACTATATCCTGAGGTAGTGTGAGGAGGGGGCTTCCCTCCACCCTGACCCCCAGGCAGCCAGCCACACCAGCCTGGGCCTCAGGCAAACATGCCTCCCTCTGCCTGTCTGGTTGCTATGACAGCCCCTTAGCAGACAGACCCAGATGGGGCAGGGGATGGGGCTGGGGTTCTGGAAGGCCCGAAGCTCTACTGAGGAGGCAGGAGTGGTGAGAATGATCATGTGCTGTCCCTGTCTGCTCAGCAGCCTTAGCTCACTTCAGCTCGCTAAGGATGCTGGGAGTGACAATGCTAGGAGAGGCACCATTTAGCAGCCTGGTTAGCAGATGGAACCCCGAGGCTCAGAGAAGTGCCTTTCCCTGCCTGACATCGCACAGCCAACTGAGGCAGAGCCAAGGTGGGCCTCTGTTCTCCTACCTGAGGCTTCTAGCTAGCAGTTCCCCCACTGCCTGTAATCCCGGGGTTGGAGGGGAAGGGAATGAGAGAGGTGCCCAAGTGTCTGCCCCAGACCAGGCGCAGCTGGGCTTAGTATCGCTTACCCTGGTGGTTGCAGAAGGCCTGTCTTTGGGTTCAGATGGTGCTGGCTGAGACCCAGCTCCTGCATGTGACCTCACCTGTCAAATGGGAGCCCTGCTCTCTGGGTTGTTTTGAAGGTCACATGATATGTTACCAGAAAGTGCCTGGCATGTCCCTCCCCAAGGCTCCGAGAGCCATGTGGGCCTCTCATCCCCACACCCATCTAATATCCTCGACCAGAGACTTGACCTCTGATGTCCTTGTGTTGTCATCGGTGGGGAACGTTCCCTGGGAGCACTGCTTGAGGACTTTGGGCAGGTATTGAATCCCTCCTGTTTGGATTGAGGGAAATAAAGTAGAGCGACACGGGCTGGTCTGAGGTCAGAGTCGCAGTGCCAGGAACACGTTGCCTCCACAGGGCTCCGTATCCCATCTGGAAAGTGGGGGCAGCCTTACCTTCCACACGAGGCAGTGCCAGCTACACAGGACGGGGCCCTCAGGCACCAGCCCAGCAACCACGCCCAGGACAGGCTCTGCGGATGCTGGAACATGCGTCTGGCAGGTCTGCTGAGTGGGGGTCAGGGACCCACAAGGAGCTGCTCCTCCCCTTGTCCTCCCTGGATGGGCCTCTTCCACGGCTTCCTTTTTGCCCCTCCAAGTCAGGGTGAGACCACTGTCCTGAACGCCAGCCCTGAGGATTTTTGTAAGCCACCCTGGAGTGTAGAAACAAAACCCCTGTTTGTGTTCTCTTTGCTAGAGAGGGTCTAGAAGGAGTGGGGGCTGGAGTTGGGGACCCAAGAGAATTTGGAAGTAGCTGAGACCGTGTCCCTTGGAGATGAGGCTTCTACATGGGATCGGGCTGGGCGACCTTCAGAGTAGACTACAGCTCATTCACTGCAGCAAAGCAGCAGCTCCAACAAACAGGCAGGGAACCAGGTGGGAAAGGGGGAGCGCCGCCCCGCCGCACAGCCCAGCCCCCCACTTACCTTCTGAAGCCTCCTGAAGCGGGTGCTCTCCCTCTCTAAGCCTCAGTGACTCCTCAAACAGAGGCAAAAATGCTGTCTTTTTGAAAAAAGCGGCTTGAGCGCTGACCAAGCACCGTCACCGCGGGAATGTTGTTTCACCTCGTCCTCGTGATGTCCTTCAGAGTGGGTGCACTTCCTGTCCTTGCTCTGCGGACAGGAGGCCAAGGCTCAGGGGTTCGGGGGTTGCTGAGGTCACCAGAGGTGGTGCCTGCCTGCTGCAGCCTCCACGCTGGCCAGGCGGCTCCCCTGAATGCACAGTGGAGAGGACATGGGAGAGTCATCATCCCTACTTTCTTGCTGGGCACAGCAGCCATCAGTTCCTCTCTACTCCGTGTCATGTGTGCCAGGCTCGCCAGGTCTCAGGGGAAGCAGAGAAGCCTGGGGAGCTGGCCCTTCACAGTAAAACCCAGCCCCTGCCCCAGCCCCTGCCCCAGCCCCTGCGAGATATCCAGCTGGGGAGCCAGCAGCCAGCCTGGGCAGTGGGCAGTGGGCAGTGGGCAAGTCAGGGCAGTGTCGTCCCCCTGCTGGTCACACAAGCACGTTCTCCTGGCTCACCCTTTCCTCCCGCTTGGCTCCCACAGATATCAACGAGTGCCTGGTCAACAACGGGGGCTGCGACCACTTCTGCCGCAACACTGTGGGCAGCTTCGAGTGCAGCTGTCGGAAGGGCTACAAGCTGCTCACGGACGAGCGCACCTGCCAGGGTGAGCCCCTGCCACGCCCCGGACGGCCCTCGGGCCAGCGGGGTCACGCCTCTTCCACTCCTGGGCTCCTAGGAGGGGTGGGGAGTGCTGATGGAGCTTGGCCCGAGGGAACGGGGTCCTTTATGACTCTAGGGGCCATCAGTCCAATCTGTTCCTTTTGTTGATGGGAAACTGAGGCCTGGGGAGGTTTTAGCACAGGCGGGTGGTCGAGCTCATCAGCTCACCGCGCCCCTCCCCTCCCAGGTGGCCCACGGGCCTCCCTATGGCGCACCCCTCTGGCTTCAGAGGCGGGATGCTGCCATCTGTTGGAAGGCGCTGCACATTGCAGGCAGGCGCTCTGGAACAATCGTCAGGGTCTGGGCACCTGCTGGGAGCAAGGATGATAAAGAAGGGTCTGGCAGAAGCCAAGAATCCCAGCCCAGGGCAAGTCTAGTGGGACCCAGGATGCAGCAGGACCCCAGAGGCTGGACAGTGCAGAGCGGGGTCAGGGAAGGTTACGGGGGAGGGTCTGGTGGTGAGATGCTTGAGAGCTAAATAGGAATTTTCCAGGAGGAGGGAGGGAGCTAAAGCCACCCAGGAGATGGCACGGTGGCCTGAGGAGGTTTCAGGGAACACAGGGAACTTGGTGGGGCCACATGAGGCCATGAGGAAGGAGACGGATGCCCTGTGGGACTCACATTGGGAGAAAGCTCAAGTGGGGGGCGCCCACGTGGCAAGGCAGGGGCTCTCTTTCCCCGACAATTACCCAGCTGCGGTCGGGTTGTTCTGTACCTGTGGGGTACCGGCAGTAGCGGGTGGCATGTGGCCTCATCTGGACACCAGGCTGTACTTCTGCCTGTCAGTGCCACTCAGGGGCTGCCACGGGGCAGCATGGGGCCCTGAGGAACGAGGGCTGTGGTCCCGAAAGGCCCCTGAGGAAGGTGAGAGCAGGAGGTGGCGGGAGTGAGGCCAGGGTCGGCCAGCCTCAGAATCACCGCGTGCCCGGGGCCAGCCTCTTCGTCCCTGGCCGGGCACCCTGGCCCTGTCTTCTCCTTGGGGCCTGAGGGCTGGTTAGGAGCACAGTGTCTGTCCAGGCCCCATCAGGGTTCCTCTGACTTTGACTTTGTTTCTCTGTTGGCCTTGCCAAGTTCTGTAGAGGACTTTGCACCCCAGCTGCCCCTGAGGGAGGCAGGGGCTGTCGAGGAGGAGATGAGATCGCCTGTGAGGCCCTGTCCTCACCCGCCCCACCCCACCTTCCTTTTCCCACCCCCTCCAGGCTCATCTCTCTGAGGTCCTGGGCTCCAAGCTCCACAGGTCTAGCAGGGAGGGGTCCATGCTCCTTTGCTTGGCACTCAGGGGACCCCAGACACCTCCCCAGTCCTCCTTGGGCTCCACACAAGCAGACCTGTCAGGGTGAGCCCCTGCCGTGCCCCGGGCAGCCCTCGGGCCCATTGGAGTCAGCGCCCCTTCCCCTCTGGGCTTCTGCAGGCTCCTAGGAGAGGAGGGGAGTTCGGATGGGGCTGGGTCCAAGGGAACGGGTGCGTCCCAGGTGCCCCATGCTCCCACCTCCAAGTGCTGCCTGGAGCACCCTTCCACACTCATTCCCTCATTCCAGGCTGGCCCATCCTTCAGATTCTAGCCCAGGTGCCACGAGCACCAGGAGGTCCCAGATCCTCTCTGGGAGGAATCACACTCAACTTTGAGCACCCACGCACAATTTCTTCCTTGTGTTAGTGTTTTGCGGGTTTTTTGTTGTTCTGTTTTTCTGAGGCGGAGTCCCAGAAAGGCTCTCTTGCCAGCTGGAGTGCAGTGGCGCCACCTCAGCTCACTGCAACCTCCCCCTCCTGGATTCATGCGAGTCTCCTGCCTCAGTCTCCCATGTAGCTGGGAATACAGGCACAAACTACCACGCCTTGCTTATTTTTGTATTTTTAGTAGAGACGGAGTTTCACGATGTTGGCCGGGATGGTCTTGATCTCCTGACCTTGTGATCCACCTGCCTCAGCCTCCCAAAGTGCTGGGATTACAGGCGTGAGCCACCGCACCCGGCTGTTAGTGTTTTTATAAACATGCATATATTACAAATCTGTGTGAAATTACATGAGCTAACGTTTTCAAAGACTGAACTCTTAACTGCTATGCCCAAGGAGGGGCAGGTTGGTGTCTGTTTTGCCTTCAGGGTCACCCATCAACTCTCCCATAAAAGCCATTTTTCTCAGAATTTGTGATCAGGACAGCTTTGTCTCCAGTCAACATGGTGGGTCATTTTTTCCTTTTCAGGGGCAAACACCCCGTGACCTTCCCTCTTTCCCCTTTTACCTTGGCTGCCAGGAAGTTCATCATCACCTTTTACATACTGTCACAGCTCCCTTTTTAACCTTTATGGGTAGCATATCTTCTCTTCTCCTTTTTTACTTGTGCTGTTTCCCTTATTTTCTCAAGAAACCTCGTGGGGTGATGGGGAAACATGCTTTGGTCAGCATCCAAGAGGCCTAGGTTTATGTCCCAGGTCAGCTGCCTCCTCGGGGCCCTGGGGCCAGCTGCAGTCAGTTTCCTGCAGGTATGGATTAAATGGTTCTCTCCCTCTATTGATCAGAGTTGACTGTGAGATAGTGAAATGGCAGAGATTGATCACCATCCCTTCTATTCACAATGTTCCTGCCCTGCTCATCTCCAGAAAGGATGTGAGGTGGCTCCTAACCCAGAAACCGGAGGCTAGTGGAGACCAGTGGAGCCTCCCGTTTCCCGTGGGCTGGTGCTGTGCTGCGCCTCGGCCCAGGGACTGTGTCCACAGATGTGCCCTGAGCGGCTGAGAGTGACAGGCCGTGCCCACCCACCTCTCCCTCAAACTCCTCCCCCAACTTTGTCTCCCTGTGGCCACGCAGACATCGATGAGTGCTCCTTCGAGCGGACCTGTGACCACGTCTGCACCAACTCCCCGGGCAGCTTCCAGTGCCTGTGTCACCGCGGCTACATCCTCTACGGGACGACCCACTGCGGAGGTCTGCAGCCTGCCCACCAGGGCCACCTCCCCCCCGAGGCACGCGCCCGGCCACATGGCCACCTACACTGCACCCCGCATCCCAACCCTGCCTTCAACCCTGGGGGGCCCAGGGCCTAAGGATGGGGACTGCTGGGCGGAGGGGCTCAGCCAAGGCCAAGTGGGGCAGGAGTGGAGGTTGGGGGAGCAGGGGACGGTTAGAGATGAGTGGCAGGTCTCTGCTGGTGCTAGGCCTTGGCCAGATGGGTACAGGCTTGGAAACCACATTTACTAGAGAACCCGGGCCAGGAGTAGGGGCGGCCAATACGTGGAAATCCTGCAGACAGCTCGTTCCAGGGGAGGGGCTCACAGCAGAGAACGGCAAAGTACACGGGCCATTCAGGATCCTCAAGGGGAAGGTTTTGGAGGGGGTGGGGAGGCACTCCAGAGGGGTCTGCATGAAAAGGCAATGGGCAGCAGGAGCGAGAGGCAGCCGCAGGGCTGGAGCCCACAGGAAGAGGGAGCTCCGAGGAAGACATAGACGGCGGTGGGGCGTGCGCCACCCCACGACGCAGACTTTGTGAGCCCACAGGGAACTTGGGGGTTTATTCCCAGTCAGACGAGAAGCCCATGGAGGGTTTAAGCAGGGGTGTGATATGGTCAAGTTCATGGAACTATATGCCCCCGTGGCGACATGGACAGGAGAGTGGAAGCCGGGATACCCGTGGGAAGACAGCTCCAGGCATGCGCTGCTGTAGCTGCAGCAGTGGGGGGGCAGACGGAGCCAGATGCAGGCTGCTGGGACTTGGTGTTATATGGGAATGGTGGGTGAAGATTGGGAAGCCAAGGATGGTCCCCGTGTCTCTTCCTGTTCTGTGACTAGGGGGTAGCCACAGTCACGACACCAGGCAGCTTGAAGATCGGACAGGGTCAGGCAGGAGTGTGATCAGAACATAGCTGGTGCTTGGGCTTCTGGAGTGGGCTACAGATTCTTCTGGAAAGACTCTTGGAAACTTGGGCACCCTTCCCTGGGCCTGCCGAGTGCAGGCAGCTCAAGAACTAACAGAATGTGGCCAGCCCCTCTCTCCCAGCTTCCTCCCAGCTTTTGGTCAGGGTAGGAAGGGCCTTAGTGGTGACTTACTTGACCCTGGTATCTGCTGTACCGGCGGGACCTGGGGCTAGAAAAGGGCTTGTCCCGAGTCCTACGGTAAAATCAGTCTCCGTCCCTGGAGCAGTGCGCCTTCCCTGCGCCACAAAACCTGGCGGCGCTGGCACTTTGATCGTGTGCTGCCGTCTCTGCCTCCCAGCCTCGCTGCAGCTGCTTGAGCTCAGAAAACAACCGCGGTTCCTGGGGGAAGGGACGCCGGGGTCTGTGAGGAGCTTTATACATCCACACGTGTGTGCACATGTGGTGCGTGCCCTGCTCCTCTGCATCCGTGAAGCTGTCCGACTCAGGGGGGTCAGGAGATTCTCGACCCTCTTGCCCCGGGTGGTCCCTTCCCCTGCCAGCTGCCCCCCTGCCCTTACGCCCACTGTGCTTCCAGATGTGGATGAGTGCAGCGTGGACAACGGGAGCTGTGGCCAGGGCTGTGTCAATACCAAGGGCAGCTACGAGTGTTCTTGTCCCCCGGGGAGGCGGCTCCACTGGAACCGGAAGGACTGCATGGGTAGGTGGCCGCCCCGTGCGGGCTCCTCCCCTGCACCCGGGCTTGGACGGGAGGGGCAGCGGCTTTTCCGAGGTGGGGGTGAACAGGCAGCCCCTCCCTTTCCTCTAGGCCCTGCGTTCCCAGGCAGGGGTTCTCTGCTGCTGGGCTGTGGCTGATGGGAATGAGGACTTGCAGGAGAGGAGGGTCCCAGGTGGCAGAGCATGCAAGTGTCAGCCAGAGACACAGCAACAGGGGCCTGCAGTGCAGAGGAGGGTACAGAGATCTGGGGGTCCACGTGTAGCCCCAGCCGTGGAGCGAGCGACATCAGCCTTGCTGATGTCTCCGTGAGGCCGGAAGCTTACAGGGAGTGGGTGTGGAGACCTCTCCTCTCAAAGCTTCCCCTTGTCCTGCTGAGGAAGCTGAGGGGGAGGAGGAGTGGTTATCGGGGTGCAGTAGCCTCAGTGGGGCACCGTTGTGGGGATGTGCCACTGCCTCCTCTGCAGGTGAGCCCCCAGCACTGGCTGCCCCAAGGCTGAGTTCTGGAAGGGCCCCTGCGTTCCCTGGTTCCCTGTACACGGGGCCCTGTCTGGGTGCTGGGGCTGTGGACCTGCCCTCCTGGAACCTCTGCTCCAGGTCCTTGCCCTGCCACACTCTAACATCCCCAGGGCAGCCAAAGTGAGCCTTTTACATTTAAGTTAGAACATCCCTCTCAGCTCAGAAACCACCCCCCACCCAACTCCTCCTTTGACTCCGAATCAAGGCCACAGTGCTTGGAATGGCCCACAGGCTGCTGCCACCTGGCGGGATTGCCCTCTGCTGTCCCCCTGGCTCGCTTCACGCCAGCCTCACTGACCTCACAGGCCTCCGCCAGCCCTTGGCTCGAGGCTGTGCCCTTCTCTTGGCCTGGAGAGCTCTCCCACAGCACTCCTTACTCCTCCCTTGCTGTGGGGGTCTGTGGGTGACACCTGCCCCATCACCCACCCAGGGCCGCAGCCTCGGCCACTTCTGCACCCATCTGGGCCCACTTTGCTTCCAGCTTTCTTCCCCCCCATCACACTCCCTGCCACCAGAAGTAACGTGCACTTTCCAGGTTCCTGCTGGTTTGTGTCTGTCTGTCTGCCCGTCTCTCTGTCTGTCCTCACGAGAATGTAAGCTTGACATGGTTGAGCAGGTCTTCATGGCCTGTCCCATTCACTGCTGGAGCCGCAGCACCTGGAACAGAGCCTGACAGTCATAGACACGCAGTAAACGTTTGTTGGATGAATGAACGGATTGACAAATACAGGCCATCACTTAATATCTGAAATCAAAATGCCAAGTTTATCACATGCTTATGGAAGGAATTGCTGTGCTGTGCTGCAGAGTCTCACTGAACAAAGTCACCTGCCGCTCTCACGTTGAGTTTGGGGAAAGAGTTCATTTGGAGTTGTTCTGGTAGCAGAGGCGGCATTAGGGGATGTCCATCTTAGAGGCATAGGAAGGCTATGGTACCTTCAGATCTCTGCAGGAAAGCGTTGCTGAGGATGTTGGGGTCACGGCTCCATGGTGAGCAGCTTTATGCAGACCTGCCTCCAAAGGCCAGGAAAACTCAGTGGTGGAAGAAAGAGGCTGACACATTGCGCTTCTCAGAAAGAAACATTCGGCCGGGCGCGGTGGCTCACACCTATAATCCCAGCACTTTGGGAGGCCGAGGTGGGCAGATTATCTGAGGTCAGGAGTTTGAGACCAGCCTGGGCAACACAGCGAAACCCCATCTCTACTAAAAAATACAGAAATTAGCCAGACATGGTGGCACATGCCAGTAGTCTCAGCTACTCTGGAGACTGAGGCAGGGGAATCACTTGAACCCGGGAGGCAGAGGTTGTATTAAGCAGAGATCACACCACTGCACTCCAGCCTGGGTGACAGACAGACCCTGTCTCAAAAAAAGAGAGGTGTGATCAACTTTAGTAGAGCTGTAGGTATATTACATGGGCGATGGTGTGATAAAAAGATACATTGCAAGAACAGCTGAATCCACCCCTCCCAGTACAAGGGCCTTTTCCTTTTTTATGCATTTTCTAAAAAGAATATTATAATTTTTTTTTTCTTGAGTTAGAGTCGTGCTCTGTCACCCAGGCTGGAGTGCAATGGCACCATCTTGGCTTACTGCAAACTCTGCCTCCCAGTTTCAAGTGATCCTCCTGCCTCAGCCTCCCGAGTAGCTGGGATTACAGGCGCCCACCACCACACCTAGCTAATTTTTTTTATTTTTAGTAGAGACGGAGTTTTACCACGTTGGCCAAGCTGGTCTCAAACTCCTGACCTCAGGTGATCCACAATCCTCGGCCTCTCAAAGTGCTGGGATTACAGGCGTGAGCCACCACACCCAGCCAAGAATATCATAATGAATAAGGCTCAGGTAACATGCTTTGGAAGATTTTTCCACTTATCTGCACTAGCAATAGCTTGGGAGAGCTAATGGAGAGAATTAGGATAGTGGGTATCCCTCATAAAACCTGGATCTAGATGAGTTATTTGTAAGAGACAGATGGTAGGGTAAGTCAGAAGCATACAACCTGAAATCCCTAAGGTGGGAACACATGACCAGAAGAATAAAGAATACAAATACACAAAGGAGAGGCTATGGAAATTGCCATTTGCAAACATCTAAGAGAATTTATTCCAAGGTCTTGGGCAAAACAGCTTTAAAGTGTCCGTTTCAGTGAGTTTTTTCATAGAGTTGTGCAGCCGCATAAATTTTAGAGGATTTTCATTTCTCCGGAAAGAAATCCTGTGTCCACAGCAGCCACTGCCCATTTTCCCTCAAGTCCTCCAGGCCCTGGCACCCACTAAACCCCTAATCCAACTCTGTGGAGTTGCCTATCATAGACATTTTATATAAATGGGATTACACAATATGATGATATTTTGTGACTGGCTGATTCCATTTAGTATCACGTTTTCACAGTTCACCATGTAGCGGCTGGTATTTCTGTCCCATTCCTTTCTCTTGCTAGTCACAGTCCATTGGATGGCCATAATATCACGTTTCATGTATTCATCCACCAGTGGTCAGTTGGGTTGTTCCACTTTGGGGCTATGATGAATAACGCTGCTGTGAACGTGTACAGCTTTGTGTGTGTACGTGTTTTCAGTTCTTTGCGGTGTAGACGTAGGGTTAGAATTGTGGGATCATGTGGTAACTGTGTCTAACTTTTAGGGAACTGCCAGCCTGTTTTCCAAAGGGCCTGCACCGTTGTTCCATTCCCACCAGTGACGTATCAGAGTTCCGATGCCTCCACAGCCTCACCAGCACTTGCTGTTATCTGACGTTTCAGTTATAGCCATCCTAGTAGGTGTGAGATGGTATCTCACTATTTTTTTTTATTCCCGACAGCTAATGATGTTGAATATTTTCCATGTGCTGCTTTTCCATTTGTGTATGTTATTTGGAGCTAGCTATCTAGCCCTTTTAAAAGTATGTTGCCTCGGCCAGGCACTGTGGCTCACACCTGTAATCCCAGCACTTTGGGAGGCCGAAGCAGGTGGATCACGAGATCAGGAGATCTAGACCATCCTAAAACAGTGAAACCCCATCTCTACGAAAAACACAAAAAATTAGCCGGGCATGGTGGCCCATGCCTGTAGTCCCAGCTGCTCAGAATGCTGAGGCAGGACAATCTCTTGAACCCAGAAGGCGGAGGTTGCAGTGAGCCAAGATGGTGCCACTGCACTCCAGCCTGGACAACAGAGCGAGACTCCATCTCAAAAAAAAAAAAAAAAAACTGAGTTGTCCTTATAGAATTGTAAGATTTCTTTGGATATTCTGTATGCATGTCCCTTATTAGGTACATGATTGGCAAATCTTTTCTCCCGTTCTGTGAGTTGACTTTTCACTTTCTTTTCAAGCGATCCTCCCACCTCAGCCTCCTGAGTCGCTGGGACTGTCAGCTCATGCCTCTGCTCTGAGCATCTTTCGCTTTCTTTACGGCGTCCTTTGAATCACAAAAAGTCTTTTAATTTTCATGAAGTCCAGTTTATTCTTTTTCTTGGTTGTTTGTGTTTTGGTATCATTTCTAAGAAATCATTGCCTAGTCAGAGGTCCCAAAGATGTACACTTACGTCTTCTTCTAAGAGTTTGATAGTTTTAGAATATGGTGTGAAATGTGAGCCCAACTTTACTCTTTTCCATGTGGCCATCCAGTTGTCACAGCATCATTTGCCGAAAAGATCATTTTTTTCCATTGAATTGTCTTGATATCCTCGTCAAAGTCAGTTGACTGAAGAAGTGTGGATTTCTTTCTATAAATAGAACGCTCCGTTCTGTTCCATTGATCTTTCTGTGTGTCCTTATGCTAAGACCCCACTATCTTGATTACTGTAGCTCCCTAGTAAATTTTTTAAATGGAAAGTATGAGTCCTCCACTTTGTATTTCATGTACAAGATTGATCTGACTATTCTTGAACTTCCTTGAATTTCCATATGAATTATAGGATCCATTCATTTTTAAGATAAGTCGCATCAATATACAATACCGACTCAGGATTTGTTATGGATTGCCCAAAAGATCTGTTCTGCCTATGAACACTTCTGAAGTACAGAAACACAAAAATGAGCTTCTCCTTCAAAAACGGGTCGCTCCCAGGAAGCCCACGTTCATTTACCGCTGTTCCTTTCCCCAGCGGGAATGTACACCTGCCGTGGAGAGCTCAGGGAGTTCCTGGTGTGGGGATGGGACAGGAACCTTCTCACAGCCAGGACCAGGGCCTGAGGTGGGGGAGGGACTAAGCCAGCTCTCTAGGTCCAGCATTCCCACACGACCAAGGGGATCTGGACCTGCCGTCTCCAGGCCCCTTCCCACTAAGCCAGCCTAGACATGGAAAGGAGGAGTCGGGGGACTCCCCATTGGTCCATGCCCTGGGGCCCTCCCGGCTCCAGCAAGCTTCCACCCTGGCCTCTCTCACCCCTCTCTCATGTCTTCCTTCACAGAGACAGGCAGGTGCCTTTCTCGGGCCAAGACCTCCCCGCGGGCCCAGCTTTCCTGCAGCAAAGTGGGCGGTGTGGAGAGCTGCTTCCTTTCCTGCCCGGCCCACACGCTCTTCATGCCAGGTAACCCAGGCTGTCCCTGGGAGGGGATGCTGTGGCAGGGGGTCTTCTTCCCTGGGCTTCCACCACTGCTCCCAGCAGTCCTCTGGGAAGGAGCCTGATCTAGGAATGAGGGTCTCTGATCACTGAGCGACCCTAAGGCAGCTGTCTGGATTTCTGGGCCCTCACTGTCCTCAGTAAATCCAGTGGGCTCCTTCCCCCTGGCCACTTACCTGTGGTCGAGTAGCAGAAACTGGCAGAAGAGTCTGTGCTGATCTTCATCTCACTCCACAATCCCTCTGAGGCCCCAAGAATCTGAGGGCCATGGGAGGGAGGTGCACCCGGGCCCATCTCATCCCTGGCCTCTCTGCAGATTCGGAAAACAGCTACATCCTGAGCTGCGGCGTTCCAGGGCTGCAGGGCAAGGCGCTGCAGAAACGCAACGGCACCAGCTCTGGCCTCGGGCCCAGCTGCTCAGGTAGCCCCTTGGCCTGTCCATGCTGCATGCAACTGGGTGACCTTGGCTTTGCATCTAGCATCATGCTGGCGGGGGAGGAAGGGGCACCGCTCAGGGAAGACCTTCCTGCTCTTGGCCCTTCCCAGTGTGGCCTGGGGTACTGGCGATGAGGCAGGCCCAGGACCTAGAAGCCAGCAGGCTGCAGGCCGAGCCCCAGCCCAGGGTCAGGGGACCGTGGGAGGGCCCTTCTGGCTCTGAGGTCACAGCCATAGTGGTTCAGGGACCCTAACATGCTTGGAGTGCACAGATCTCAGAATGTTTGGGCGGAGCGAGCCACATCTGCTATGGCTGTTAGGTTCTCCTGGGACGGAGCTGCCCCGGCAGAGTGCGCCAGGAAGCTCCAAGGCACAGCACAGCCCCAGCCCTGTGGGGTGACCCGCCGGGCATGGTCAGCATGGCACAGCCAGCCTCATCTCCTGCCAGCTAGGGAGCTGGGACTTGTGTCCTCAGCAGCTTTTCTTATTCAGATGTTGGATTTGGTTGATAGGTACATTTCTATATGTTTCTTTTTTTTTTTTTTTTTTTT